ATATATATATATATATATATATAAGATTCTCTTTTTCCATCACCCATACCAATCTTCTCTTCTTCACATCAATCTTAACAAAACATTACTCTCTCTCTCTCTCTTTACTGTTGACGACGCTGCACTTGTGTATATGATCTTGGGAGCTGAAATGCCACCGCCTCTCCTTTTCCCGATGGTGAGATCTCATACACCGGCGAATATCCAAAGTACCGCAACACCTGATATCGCATCACAACATTCACCACAACACCCGCAAGTGTATCTACTCCTGCATCTTCTAATGGATACTTAATAGCGTTTTCAAGATTATAATGCCCCGCCTCCTCACGGCTACGCAATATCGTATCCAGCAAAGTAACTTCATTCAACACATGATGACGGGTGCGATAACGGGCAATAAAGGAAACATAAATAGCTTTTGTATTCCAATCCCATGCAGGAGTAAAGTCTGCTCTAATGGTAAAGGAAGGATGAATACGATCCCGTAATGGCGGTGGATCCATATCTTGTGCATACATGATAGGAACAGGTAATTGCATCAATGGTGAGATGGACATATTGAAGGTGGAGATCACAGGCATAGAAGCAGGCGGTGGTGATTGGTGCATGAGAGGAATAAAACTGGTGGCGACAATAACGAGAACCCCAACGAGAACCGCCGATACCCCCATGGAGGTGATTTCAAGTATACGTTGGGAACAGGAATGCATTGTCTCCTTTTTTCTGTATATTTTCCACTTTCTCTCTTTATCACTAAATAAATATAATTATATATATATATATAGACTAGAGTAGAGTTCTTTTTTTTCTTCTTCTTCTTCTTCTTTTCTTCTTCTTCACTCCGTTGGGTCTAATCTCCCTGCTCTCAGCCCTCCCCACTCCAACTCACTACATAACCAAAAAAGAAGAGAATAAAGAAGAAGAAAAAGAAAATGAACAAATAATAACAACAACAACAACAAGAAACGATATCAATAGATTAGTAAATGAAATTGACGCCGCCTTTCAAAATAATAATAAAAAAAACAATAAAAATACAAAGAATACATACATATATGTGTATGTGTACTGTATTTGAGTGAAAAGAAGAATACGCAAAACGAAAAAAAAAGGAAAAAAATAAAATAAAAATAAACATACATACATTCTTCACATATGATATTAATCAGCATCACGTCTAAAATTCTCCCTTTGAAGGTTATTAAAAGCCAAACGCAGTTCCTCATACTCCCGTCGTAGTTGTTGATATGCGGCTGTTGTTGTTACGGACCCAGATTCTCCTTCCGTTGCCCCAGTTGTCTTTCCAGGATTAGATACATCTGAGACTGCACGAAGAGATTCATACGCCAATCGTTCCTTCTCCATTAATTCCTGCATCATCTTTATACGTTGTTTTAATGCTCGATTCTCCTGCAGAACAACACTTGTTAATTTCGCCGTCTCACTATTATCATTATTATCATTACTATTATTAACATCACCAATGTGATTATCATCATTACCACTCGTATGGGATTCACCTTTTCCCTTCTTGCTTTTTATCACTTTCCCACCACCACCACCACCACCACCTCCACGACGTTTCTGCTGTTCCTGCAGTTGCTGAATCGTCTCATAGCATCTACTTAACCGTGAGTCCCCCTCTTCTCGTTGTTGCTCTAAAAAACGAACAGCCGCATGGGCTCGGCGGAGGACATCTGCCACTCGTCGCTGCCATTCACTACAGTTTTCTACGGAAGTGGAAGTCAATGATTTCACGGCTGTTCGCCCTGTTGGGATTCCATCTCTTTCCGTAGAGGGAGCTACACTGCGTAACCAATGCAATACAAGGGCCGTATCATCATTCACAGCAGCAGCGGCAGCCGTATTATTATTATTATTATTATTATTATTATTATTATTATTATTATTATTATTACGGTTTCTACCACTATCAGACATACTTTCCCAATATGCCAGTTTATTTCGTAATTCCATATTCTCTATTTTCAAACGATTTAATTCAATCGCCGCATCTGCACCGGCGAGTGCCACAGCCGTATTTGTATCCAGCGTCTCATCACTATCATCAACATTATTATTGTTATTATTATTATTCCGGTTCTTCTTGTTTGTATGCCTCTTATGAGATCCATCATTTGCCTGATGATGTTCTCCTATTGCATGTTGCCCCGATGGTGCGGCTTTACTTTCCCATAATTCCCATTCCTGCAATTTCATTCTCGCCTCCCGCAACGCCTGGCGGAGTTCTTCCATCTCTTCACGATAAGCATCAATAAGGGCATTATCATTCTCCGTCTTCTCTAGTACGGTGTGAAGATAATCACGCAGAGTGCGATTATCCGATTCGAGATTTACATATCGTGCCTGTGCGGCCTCCACACGTTTTCGTTGTTCTTCTAATTCCACTGTGCGTCTATCGAGTGCGTCCTGCAGTTCTCGTTGTTGAAGTAAACGACGATTTTGCACTTCCACTACCCGATCACGAGCCACATCATCTAAATCACGACCACGGCCTGTTAAGTGAGGCTTCCTTGATGTCGTTGTAGTTGTTGTGATAACAGAGACAGCATCTGAAGGACCAACTACTCGCTGTGAGGATGCGGAGTCGTGATCTTCATTCATATTTGCAGCATTTTGTCCAGCTGTGGCTAATTGTCGTTCTAATTCTTTTACTTTACCTTTTAATACCACAATCTGTTGGGCCCGACCACGCCAACCAACACCACCTTCAGATACATTTTTTAATAATGTTTCTAATTCCTGTGGGGTACCACCCACTTCCTGCTGTAGGACTTTACGCAGTCGTTGAGTTTCTTTCTTTTGTTCCTCTAACTGCAATTTACTCTCATTTAATTGTATATACACCCGTTCTAAACGCTCTTTAAGAGATGTAATAGTATTCTGTTGATCTCCAGTTTCTTCTTCTGAACCATTTTCTGTTTGTTTACTCCCACGTCCTCCTCCTATTCCTCCTATTCCTTTTGGTGGTAAAATTCCCAATCCTTCCTTGTTACTATTCAAACGTTTCAACTCTGCCTCCAGTGATACTAATTGTTTTTCAAGTTTCTGACTATATGTCTTCTCAGACTCCAGTTGAACTCCAAGCTGACGGGCACGTTTAACTTGATTCAGATATTTTCCCTCTAATACACCACTGTGTAGACCACCCTCATCTAATAGTGCCCGTAATTGGGCAATTTCCTCCTTGATAATATCATTATTATCGTCATTACTGTTTATAATTCGGTTTGGCATGACTTCGTAAACATAGGGGAAATTAATAACTTTAAAAATTCCCCTCTAGTGTGTTTTTTTTTTTGTTTTTTCTTTCTTTCCTTGTTGGATATGTGGTTGCACTGAAATCACAATCCAGAAATTCAATAAAGAACAAAAAGAAAGAAAAGAAAAAAGAAATGGTGAATGAAGATAAGTAGTTAACATCCCATGTTCATCTTTTTCCTTTTTTCCCCAACAGCAGTATTCCATCATGACTCGTGTCATTCCTTTTTATTTACTTTTCTCCTTTTTTTTTTCTTTTTTTTTTTACCTCCACTTGTACATCACAAACAAACAAACAAACAGACATACAGACACCAACAACAACAATAATAATAATAATAATAATAATAATAATAATAATAGTAATAAACACAATAAAAGGTATCAAATAGGGTTAGCACAACACTGTAAAAATCCCCGTTTCTCCCTATTAGAAACTAAAACACTACTCTCATTCGCATCCCCATCTTCAAAAGCGTGAAACTGCACCTGCACAGCCACCCGACTTCGCCACCATTCCTCTACAAGATATATCATCATATGTTGAAGCCACCATTGTTTTTGAGAAATAGTGAGACCACCATTCGCAGCCGAGAGACGCAGGGGTTCTCCTGAACAGGGAAGTACACCAAGAAGTGAACCAAATATCACTTCGGCCCCACTACGTGTAGAGGCGGCTTCTACAGTAACTCGCTTGGCTTCTGCGACGAGTTCTTCTTGTAAAGATAAAAGGGATGCGGCACGTGCAATGGGTTTTCCTTGATAAATAGTACTAGAGGAAAGTGTATCTACAGATGACTCTCCTCCTCCTCCTCCTCCTCCTACTTTTCCTTCTTTTTCTTTTTCTTTTTCCTTTTCTTTTTGTGTTTGAACTCGTGAAGAACCTCTTGCGGAGACGGAGCGAAGGGCTTCTTTATAGGCTTCCGCTGCCGCTTGAAGGGTTTCCAGACAATCCAGATGTTTCTCCCAGGCCCCAACACTATCTAACTCTACAAATAAAGTGTTTTTAGGCGGTAAGAGAAGAACAAGAGCCTCACAAAGTTGACGTGGACAACCAGCATCATAGTCATGTAAAACTATATCTATAGCTCGAACCACAGCTCGAAAAGAATCATCTACTAATGTAAGAATTAACTGAGGTAAGGTTCGTTCACATTCCTCCATTTCGGCATCATTATTCATTATTCCCCATGAAGTTTCTTTTTGAATAGCTGTTCCAATCATTACACGTAGGCGAGCAAGAGAGAGAAAGAGTGAAAATAATTCATCCTGTGCTTCTACTGAGAGTTGAATTCCTCTACGCATGACGAGTGCCTGTAGCATCATGACAAGATAACACTGTAATTCATGTAACTCACGTAGGGAAGGATCCTCACGTATACTACTTACTCCTTCTTCATCTATATTATTATTATTATTATTAATGGATTTTCCATCTTTTTGCCAGACAAGTGTTAAACGACCATCATTACGAATTTTTGATTGTCGCCGCACTACTGCCTGCGCCAAACGACAAGCTTCTGAAAAGACAGCACTACAAAATGGAATAGTAACATGACCACTACTAGTCGAAGAAGAACTCCCAATAGTGGAGGGATAAGAAGAGTGAGAACTGTGTGGAAGAGAGAATGGACGTACAGAGACCTTCTCTAGATATTGTGGATATTTCATCATAAGATGAGTGAGTCCCACCGCACACGGTGTTGATGGTAAAATAGCAAGAGAACGTAAACACCATTGACAGAGAGTGACTACCGTGTGTTGTCCAAGAGTTCCTGCACAGAGAATCATACACGTCATTACAATATTACTAGACATGGTAACAACAGCAGGCACCTTCTCTGGAAATCGCCATTGTAACATAGAAGGATGACCGGTTTCAGTAGTATGAAGATAATGTCGTTGTTGGTCTAATGGTATTCTAAAAGAAGAAGAGAGAGAAGCTGCCCGTCCCATAGAAGCAACAGAGATTCGATTCATACTAGCAGCTGTTCCACTTGGAATTTCCATAAGAGAGATGGCAGATTTACTTCGTGCACTGTTAAGAACATCATATGATACTAAACTCTGTCTATTCTCTTCTTGTTGCTGTGATTGAGATTTATTATCGGATGGAATCATTATTGTAAATCCTGATAATGGGATGGAGGACTCTGCTGGGTTTACACCTTCACTGTGTCCCGGTACAGATAAGGAGAGTGGGACTTCCGTTGTGGTCTGCATCTCATCAGAAACTATTGGAAGATCTATCATTTGCCTTTCTACACCATCTTCTTTTTCCTCTTCTTTTTCTTTTTCTTTTTCTTTTTCCTCCTCTGCCATCAACATACATGTGCGTAGACTGTAGTGGGTCACAAGTGTATAGGCGAGAGCCACGGCGGGTTTCCACAATGCTGGTGTTTTGGCTAAATCCAATGCACGTTGATGAAGAACATCTAAGAGAGCAGTGGGATGTAATAATTGACTGGAGATGAGAGAACCACAAATAGTGAGAGCCCAAACAGGATCTTCAATCATTTGAAGTAATGAAACCGCCGTTGAAGAGAGTCGAGTCATGGCACGTAATAACATCGCATGATAAAATGTCTCTTCACTATTATTATTATTATTATTATTATTATTATTATTATTATTATTATTATCTCTCTCTTCCTTTTCTTCATGTTCACTATTTAAATCATTATTAAAAGTTGTTGTTGGAGGTGTACCCCACACATGCCGTGAAACAAAGGAAGGTGCCGCGAGTTCTGTTAATCGCATCAACACACGTCTAGCCGCAAGTCCCATCGCATCTCCATGTAAACACTCTTTTAGTAATGCCTCTAATAATAATGGAAGAAATGGTGGATATAATGCAATGAGTCGGGCAACTCCCGCAGAGGTATGTAATTCTCTTGGAAGAAATTGCATACTTTGATTTAATTCTGATCTAGAATCTATATCCGTAGAGTTATGATTACCAGCCGCAATATAATGATCTCTGGCAGTAAGTGCAGGTTGGGCTAGTTCTGCTAATAATTGAGAGAGACTGACTTCCTCTGTTCTCCATCCTATACCGTAATGATGGATCGATTTATCATAAGGATGATGTCGTTTTGTTTTTTTCTCTTCTGCAGTTGAGACACTTTTCGTTTTTCTTTTATAAACTCCAACCGTTGATGATATTCCCACAGTGAACTCACCATTCTTTCCACCACTTCTACTTCTACTTCTAGTACTAGTACTACTAGCAGAACTACAACTACTATTACTACGGCTAGTACTACAACTACTATTACTACCACTACTACTATTATTATTAATGGTACTGTTTCTTATTTTTCTTCCCTCTTTTTCTTTTTCTGAGGGTTTCTTCATCTCCGTTAAAGGACTATCATCTATAGATTGCGAGTGGACATTCTCTCTTAAGGAGGCAAAGTGGTCCTGCATATTCTTTAAACCCCCTAATCGCTCTGAACTCACTTCTCTTGCCGTTGAACCCACACTTCCACTAACTGGTATTTTCTTACTCCCACCACTACTGTTATTATTATTGTTATTATTACTATTACTATTATTACTATTATTATCTCGCGATATTCGTTTAGAATCATTATCTTTCATTATCGCCGCTACACGATGTGTTACTGAAGAAAAGGGAGAAGAAGAAGAGGAATTGTAATTCCCCATCGGGTTATCCCCACCAGTGAAGGGTAATATCAATACACATAAGATCGCATGTAATAAGGGTGGGAATTCCTGTGTGGGCCCCACGTAATTTATTCGCCTACTTTCTGTTTGGATCTCAACAACAGCCGTATTCTCTGCTTTATTATTATTATTATTATTATTCGCTGATGGGAGTGTTGTGTTGATCTTCACATCTCCGCCGTTGAGTGGAGTGGACGACTCACGAGCCCCACGGCGCTGCACTTCTAAAATATACCGCCGTAGTTTACTGGGCGATATGGAGAGAGCAGCGGCTAATATACACAGCCGTTGGGAAGAGGAACGAAATGTGTCTGCAGAGACAGTGTGTGTGCTATGCATGAATAATAACTAATTTTTAATAATAATAGTATTAATAATAATAATAATAATAATAATAATAATAAATGTAGGGAGTTTAGTGTAAATAACGCTGCAAAATAGATAGTTTATATATATATATATATATGTGGATGGTCCCCCCCCCTTTTTTTTTTCTTTCTATATCTCTTTTATTTGTTTCCTTGTACAGATAATAGGATATAAGTATATACAGATGTATGTGTACCTGTAATTATAATAGAAAGAGAAGAAAAGAAAAAAAAAAAAACTAAATAATTACAAACGCATGTAAATAAAAGATAGAGTGACGACAACTTTCACCCAGTACTATGACTACAGAATAGTACTACTACATTAAATAATATATAGATATAGATAGATAAATAGATTTGTGCCAAACATACATACCAAGAGATACCTGCAGACATGATTTTTTTTTTTTTTTCATTTTCCAAAAGAAAAAAGAAAAAAAAAAAAAAAAACGTCCAAGAAAGAAACTGAAATTGGAAAGTAAGCAAAGTCTCTTTCTCATACATTTACTATATATATATATATATATATAGTATTGATAGCATCATTGAGCAAATGAGAATCCACACAAATAGATAGATAGATAGATAGATGGAGATAGAGATACACACAGATAACTAAGAAGGAGTAAATGAAAATTCATATATATAAAAAAAAGAAAGCAGCACGAAATCGAGAGAAAAGAAAAAAGAAAAAAAAAAAAAGAAAAAGTGAATGGAAATTGAAATACGTATATATCTTACATGAGTGAC